GAAATTTGAAAGTGCCATTGCCCATATTTCAACCGCCAACATAGTTGCCCCAGTTTTACATTTTAGGCATTCGAGAGAGTTGAGATGGCAAAATCGTACTTTCCAGTGTGGGTTCCTAAATTAGTTACCGTTGATTTTTTAATCGTTTCGAAAACTATTTTAGACGTCACCCGAAAATGATTGTATCTAACGATATTATTTGTATGCCAATGAGCGAAACGAAGTTGTTGACGATTTGGTTCTCCTTGCATATTATTTCAATATACAGTGCTTTTCTTTAATGTCCCTCCCCCTTTTATTTTTTCAACGGATCAACTCAAAAAATTGAAATTTGGGATAATGAAATTAATGCATGAATACTTTATTCTGAAGTGAAATTGACATATGAAACTTTCAAGATGGCGACTGGGCGCCATCTAGAAAAAAAAATTAAATGGAAAGTGGGGTCTTGTGACATTGTGAATACATTGACAGTTAACTACATAATATGAGGTAAAAAGCTCGAGGTCAGTTCAGAAGATGCTCGAAATGATTGCCTTGAACTTTTTGACATATGAACAGCCTATCCGTTATTTCACGCCGAACATTTTCGAACACAGTAACGTCAATATCTCTACAAATATTTATTATTCTCTGCCGTATATCCAATATTGAAGCAGGTTTAGTTTCGTACACCTTTTAATTCAAATAGCCCCATAAAATAAGTCCAAAGGTGTCAAATCTGGCGAGCGGACTAGCCATTCTGTAGGAACTCGACGGCCAATCCAACGATCAGGAAAAGTAGTATCCAAATAGTTTCTTGTTTGTGTGGTGTAATGTGGTGGTGCTTCATCTTGTTGGAATGCAATATCCATATCGAATTCATTAGGATTCGCTTCGACGATTTCAGTGATGAGAGGGTCAACAGTAGTTTCCAGCATATTCAAATACAGTTCTCCTGTTAAATTTTGATCAATAAATAGAGGTCCTACAATATGGTTTCCCAATATTCCTGCCCAAACGTTAATTTTTTTCTGGATATTGGGTATGTGTTTCCTGGAAAACGTGAGGGTGGGTGTCACTCCAATAACGGCAATTTTGTCTGTGAACATTGCCGTTTGAAAAAATGTACAATCGTCACTAAAACAAATATTGTTCTTCGATCAGGGTCATCTTCAGTTAATTGGTGTACCATTTTAATTTTGTATGGATGATACCTGTTCCTTATCAAAAGTCTCCACATAGTAGGAGACACCTCACAAATATTCACGACGGAAAAAGTAGACTGTTCAGGATTCACTACCATCTCACCAATTATTTGCACTTGCTGTTCTTCCGTAATGGACGGATGACCTGGGGTTTTTTTAATGTACACTACCGGTAGTTGTGAATGTGGATACAAGTTCCCTTAAATATTTTCAACAGATAGGACGATTCGGAAAACGTTCATTGAAAATCCTTTCGGTCTCGTGAAAGTTACTCGTCGCACCGTAAATAAAAAATCGCTTCAATTTTTTTCCCAATGGACGAAAATTGACCATTTTGTTGACGTCGTACCTTACCGTACGTAAAACCGAAAACTAACTGAACAATGACGTTCATTGTCGTACTGACATTTTTTGTCGTTTTTATAAACAAAAAATAAGTTAACAAACCTTATCGGGTTTTTGGAATTGCCATATGGCAGATAAAAAGAAATATTTCTAGAAATATCGATATTAGTATGTTTGTCTTCAGGAAATTATTAAATGTTCCGCCATTTTGTAGTAGGTGAATATATTGACTTCATATTCTAGGGTTGTGAAGTATTCGTCAGGAGCTTCAAAATGATGTGTCACAAGACCCCCGTTTCCATTTAATTTTTTTCCCAGATGGCGCCCAGTCACCATCTTGAAAATTTCATCTGTCAATTTCATTTCAAAATAAAGTATTCATGCATTAATTTCATTATCCCAAATTTCAATTTTTTGAGTTGATGCGTTCAAAAAATAGAAAAGGGGGAAAATAAAGAAATACATTGTATATTTTCATTGTAGGTACGACTTTTATGACAATTCTTTTTGGTGATTTTGGAATAATTCAATAAGAGACACTCTTTTTCCAAAAAATACTAACTTCTAAATATATTCTTCCGTTTTCAATTTAATATCATTTGCAGATTAGATTACGAAGAAAGTTTAGAAATCAATGTTCAGAAACAATTTGAGAATTATTCAGTGACATTAAAATTGAACAATTAGGACTATTGGACTAAAAAGGATAATGCATGTTACTTCCGTATATACACTAATTAGTTCGTTATCGCATACCTTCAGTTGAGAAAACCTAATTGTATTGTAGATCAACTACCGTAGTCGTTGATCGTTTGGTGAAAGATAATTCATAGTTATAATCGGTTTATATCATGTGTGTGTGTATCGGAAAAACTGATAATAATTTTCGAATCAACTTATATAACAGTTTTATAATTTCTCAATAAAAATTATTTTACTTCATTCGATCGGATGTAGCTTAGGATTTTTGAACGATTCTGTGTTCTGTCTATCTGTATATTTGTCGTACTTTAAATAAAAAAAATCACTTATTTCTCTGTATTTTTTTGTAAACATTATTTCTTACAAATTGAGACATCTTCTAAACAACCTCAAAAATTTATTGGCGCTCCGGGGCCACTTCATTGATTCCAGTGGCGCATTTGCTTTTTCAGCTGCAGGAGAACCCGGAAAAACCTGCGGCACCACATTATCTCAAGATCTTGATCTGCCAATGTCCTCTCTTTCATAAAACAAAATGTAGGGTGTCTCCAGAGGCTCCAATAAATGCAAGTCATCGTCAGAACACTTCGTGACACGACTATCGTCAAACTTAAACCAATTCGTTTCGTCTTTGACCAAGGCGTAATAATGACCAAATTCAACGCCAGAACCACAGTGAACAATGACGGCATGAAGATTATAATAGTGGTCTGTTAGATAGAAGTGTTCATCAATTTCGAACCTTCGTAAGAATTTGGTGCTTCCGTCAGAGGTTGAGTCATGTTTGGAGATCATTATCAGATTGACTGGTGCCTCAGCTATACTTGTTTTCTTATAATAGTCAGTTAGTTTGGCGCACGTTTGGCAACACAGTTGATCATCACCCGTTAAAAGTTCCTTTTTCAGATGATTTAACAATAAGCTTTGCACGGACTGGTTATCAGTCATATTAGGAAACGCTAGTTGAAGTTCCAGAAAATCACATACCTTTTTGCTACCTCTTGAACATTTACTACAAAGTAAACAAGTGAGGATTTTTCCAGCAATAGATCTACAAACACAAGACGAGATAGATTGTACGGAATCATTCAATCCAGAGCGGTCAGGAGTATATCGATTCTACTATTTTTTTGCTCACGAAGAGTATTCAACAAGAACCCCAAGAATTCGGAACAATCCTCTTGTTGTTATGTGCCAATAATGCACATATAATTTTTTTTGGCGAATGGTTTTTCTGAAATTTTTAGTAATAGTAGGTACTAAAAGTGAAAAATTCAAAAATTAAGATTTTTTTGAAAACATTGGTCCTTCCTAATTATTTTTTTGTTATCATTTTCTACATTGAGGAATTCGAGAAGGTTACTGAATGTTTTCAATGTTTTCAGCAATACGAGATATATTTCATCAGTTCGGACTTCCATTGTCTAATATGATATAAATTGATTTGAAATCCTTGAAATAATCTGTAAAATGCACTTCGAAACATTGTCAACCACCTTCAAACAATACGAGATATGTTCTGAATTTTCAAAAGAATTGCAGAAATTTTTGATCAAGTCTGGTCACAATGAATAAAGACGACTTTGCCAAACGTTATTTTCATTAGACTTCATCTCAATAAAAGTAATAATATTATTTATTATATTATGTACTAATAGGCGTTCGTAGAATCTTTAGCCCGAACATATTTTTCAAGTTTGGGNTGGTGCTGCAGGTTTTTCCGGGGTTTCCTGCAGCTGACAAAGCAAATGCGCCACTGGAATCAATGAAGTCGCCCGGAGCGCCAATTAACTTTTATTGTTGTTTTTATTTTATTTTTATCGTTGTTTCAATAAAATTTTCATTTAGTTATATTCAAATAGAAATATTCAAGAAAATGTATTCTTATGGAATAACAGTTGAGCTGAAAAGTTGGTTGGCTAAACTCCTGTAGGGTATAAGAGGATTAGAGGAAAAGTACTTTTTTGATTTTTTTTTGAAAAATATGGTGTATGGAAATTTCCTTCAAACAGGGTGGCAAAGTGTTATATATCTTTTTACTCTCATACATTATTGATTTTTTCGTGAATTCTAAGTGGGGGATGGGGAGAGGAAAGTTCACAAATATTGTGAACTGACCCTGTATATTAATACTGGCTAAGTCATTAATATATAATAGGAATAATATCGGCCCAAGGACTGAACCTTGTGGAACGCGACTCCTGACATTACGTAATTTGGAGTTGGAGTTGTTCTCTTTCATTTTCACAAACTTACTATTACTGCCTTTTACTACTAATAAATGGTACAACTACTAAGTAAGTACATCCATCAGCAATTGTACACCATTACGCTACAAAAATGCAAAGTATGAATAAATGTATCCATTACTCAACGATTACAATCGTTAGGTAATGGATAATTTTCGTTTGTAGGGACTTTTTTTTGGTTTATTTTGTTTGTTTTTTTATAAATTTATATATTTCTCTAATAACGATAATACAGATGGTGTATTATTCGAGATTCGAACAAATTTTCCTTCCACAACAATATTCTCGTCAATTCCAACTAATGTAGAACCTTGTAATCCTCTCGATAATTAACAATCGGAAAGAAATCATCCGATCCGATGGTTCATCATGATTTTCTCCTCCGATTTCTGCCAACAAAGGATATCATTATACATTCCCGTATAATTAATTAACACCGAATCTTTAATTACTCTCACTTGAACATATGAAATTATGCTGTCGTAATTGCTATATAACTTTTTTTTCTTTTGTGCAGAACGACCAGCTGAAGGAAGCTCTGGAAGCGGAACGGAGGGGCATGGGGAATTACCTGATTCGCGGAAGAGAACTGAACGACAATCTAGAATGCATGGAAAAAGAGGTAGGGTAATTTAGGCGTTGCACGCATCCATTCTGATTCATCAGACTGTTGCGGGCGATGAGACAAATTATTAATTAGCCCATCAAGGTTGCCGGATCGTTTTTTTTCAATTGTCTCTAGCAGGCGGTATGTCAAAATCGCGCAGAGAAAGTTTATTGAGTATTATCTGATTAGATTAATAACATTTATAAAACACTTTTGTCTAATTACCACTGGTAGATTTTGTTTATACAACTGGTTTCGAGTTTGACCCCATTATCAAGTATAAAACTGGAATCTCAAGTTTAAAACCTCGGTTATATAGAATTTTCAGGTATGCTGCAAGGACAGGTATTTGAAAGATGGGTAGTTGGGCAAACCAGGATGCCAACTTTAAAATTCCACACTGAAAATTCTAGGGGTTGTTGAACTTGTAAATTCAAGAGAGGATACCTACATAAATCGAGTTGCTCGTTTAAAGGTATACATTTCTAGTTTTTAATTGATTTGTTAATTTCCATGGCTTCCAACAAATTCATTTTTTCCCTTTATTACATATGTGTAGGATTTTGAGGTTATCTTTATTTATCTTGTGTTTAGATTCTTGAAGATGTTCGTACATTGTAGATTTTTTATCCAAAGAGACGTGTTCACGCAGTCTTGTGGCAAAATTACTACTGGTTTGGCCTGTATATATATATATATATTCTTGTTGTTATGTGCCAATAATGCNGAAGGTAAAAGGCATTTTGATATACAACAACAATATCACGACTGATGGCAATGTGTCATCCAGATATCAGAGGAATGAAAGGAAGCACAAAAAGTTCTAACATTTTATCGCCTCTTTTTCTGCGTAGCGTCCACTTTTTCTGGTGTCTACAATGCAGAACAATTCGATCAGTCCAGTTAATAGTACCCACTAACGTATTCAATTTTCTCGAACAATTATGATATATCGTTGGTTGAGAAATAACAAGAGCTGTCAGTTGAACGACAAACAACATGGGGTTGCCATTTGAAAAACAAAAGTTAGGGGTGGTTTCGCAGGGGTTGCTCGCGAGGGGGTGGATTTTGCTTTATATATTCTATTAATTATCTGCGAGCGCATTCGACAGCTGGTAGTAATGTCATCTTCTAGGCACTCCTCAAACTGAACTTGTCATCCTGTCGTTTGCCTCTTTATACGGTCAGAGCGTCTCAAACTCAGTTTGAGGAGCATTTTTTTCGAAAAATGGTCGTTCTTCCTATTTCTACGCCATAAACTTGATGAAAGACTTTTTTCAAAGCGAAATCCATTTGACGACTGACAAGAATGTACGAAAGATATCTTGTTTCAATTTTGTACATTATAGCGTGTCCAAACAAATATTTTTTTACGAAATCGATGTATGTACCACATTTTTCTAAATGGAAAATTATTTTTTTCATTGGATGCAGAATTTTTACCATAAATCGTGCAATATCATACCAAACAAGATTAAATGAAAAAACATTTTGAATATTACTAATATTTTTTTCTCATATTATGGTGTATATTCATGAATTCAGGGCTTAAGTTCTAGATATTTAAATTTGTCAACTGACAAACTACAAAACTAAAAAAGGAAGAGTTGAATGAAGGTTGATGATGAAACTTTTGTAAAATATGTTCGACATGTCTTCTATTTTCTTGAATGCAGAGCTGAAGTCTATGTTTGAAAGACTGTTCTATCCTGCGCAAGACAGCTGGTGTAATGATGCCAAAAGCATTCGTTATTCAAAGTTACATATTTTCGGAAGAAGCTAGCGGCTCGGTGGCTCGACGTAAACCATATTTTTTATGTATCCCCATAAGAAAAAATCCAGTTTTGTTTAATCTGGTGATCTAGCGGGCCACCGTACAGGCCAATTCTGTCCTATACATCAATTGGGAAATACTTCATTTAAATGATCTCTCACTTCTGCCGAATAGTGAGAAGGTGCACACACATTGTTCCATTCATATGTCCCTGAAAAAAGTATGGACCAATTACATATTCTCCAATGATGCCTCCCCAGACATTTATCGACCACCTATATTGATAGTCCACCTGTCTCAATGAGTGGGGATTTTCTGTCGAATAATAATGGTAATTATGTCGATTCACAAATCCATTTTTATGGAATGTCGATTCATCCGACCATAAAATGTTATTGAAAAAATATTCGTTTCGACGAATTTTTTCCCATGGCCCAATTTTAAAATCTCACTCTTTTCTCTAAATCGGCATACAGTAGTATGAGATGGATGAAAACGATGTTTCTTCAAAACTCGTTGCACTGATCTCTCACTTATATCCACTATTTCACCAATTTGTCGTTGACTCCTACTAGGATCTTCTTCAACAGCAAGAAGAATTTGCAATTCATTATCTTCATTAGTAGTTGGGTTGATGCGCTCATGTTTAGAATAATTGATACATCCGTTTTCAACAAATCGTTTAATTTTATTTTATTCGCTGAGGTTGTTTTAGATCGAAAAAATATGGCACAAATTTGGAGATTATTGAAATTATTGTAATTATTCAAGAACGTACATTTTGCGGTGTAATTCAAAACTTGTTTATCTAGCAACAGGTAATTTTAGGCATGGGGCGATATTTCAAGGAAAGGCTTGGACAAAAACTATGCATCAAATGAAGAAGAATTTGCAATTCATTATCTTCATTAGTAGTTGGGTTGATGCGCTCATGTTTAGAATAATTGATACATCCGTTTTCAACAAATCGTTTAATTTTATTTTATTCGCTGAGGTTGTTTTAGACCGAAAAAATATGGCACAAATTTGGAGATTATTGAAATTATTGTAATTATTCAAGAACGTACATTTTGCGGTGTAATTCAAAACTTGTTTATCTAGCCACAGGTAATTTTAGGCATGGGGCGATATTTCAAGGAAAGGCTTGGACAAAAACTATGCATCAAATGAAGAAATTGCACGGTGTTCTATTTAGAGAATAAATGTGTTATAAACATAATATATATCTCGATCACAGTCGTCACATATGGATTTCACAGTAAAAGTCATTGATATTATGGCGATACAATAGAGAGTTGTCATGTACAAAATTGAAACGAAATATCTTTTGTACATTCTTTAGTCGTGAAATGGATTTCGCTTTGAAAAAAGTCGAGTTTATAGCGTAGAAATAGGAAGAACGACCATTTTTCGAAAAAATGCTTTTTTAAGGCGGTCACACCCCGTGTGACCGCCAATATTTTTATTTTGTCAGGCTCGTGCAATAAGGTAATATTATAGAAATTTAGATTCCTATCTGTTTCCTAAATTGAGATATGGAACATCGCGCCACTGTTGCAGGACCCTGTATAATTATGATGTGGTGAACCAAATTCGGGGATCACCACATCACCCGAAGACGATTGTGGATACTTACAATCGAAACGTCGTGAAGTAACTTGGCTTGGCATATTTTAATTTTCAATTTTCATTTCTTGTTAATAGTTCAATTGTTGATTGTTGCTTGTATTTTATTTCATTGTAATTTCAGTTTTTTTGCTTAATATACTTGTTATTTTTTAGGTACCTGATCTTTTTGATTTTTATAGATTCTTTCAGGGATTTCAAATCAATTTATATCATATTAGAAAATGGAAGTCCGTTCTAATGAAATACGATTATTAAAGATCTCATGCAATTTTCCCAATCCACATTCCAAAAGAAATCAAAGGAAAAATTCAATATGTGATCGGAAGAATTAAATTTTCATTTTAAACTATGGTGGTTGCTAGTTTCATACTTCTAATAATTTGTTCCATCACACAATCTATTCGGTTCCGGTCAACTTCGAAGCACTGTAAAACTCGGACAAATTACTGAAATCAAACACATTTATAGTGAAAATCATTCGTTGAAAACTCCTCTATAAGATTGTTCTCATGTCATTTTATTGTAAACTGACCATAAAAAAATATAACACCCAAATGAAAATTTGTTGAAAACATCAAGATTGAAAAGTTGTAAAATGAATAACTGAAGTTTTTCCAAATCATTCTCAACTTTCAATTAGTAAATATTTCACTAGATTTTTATCTGTGATAATTTCATTCTTAATAATTTTTTTTATTATGGTGATCTGTTTCGCTGCATTTTTCATTTTCTTCAAGTCCAATACTTTTGCTTCCCTTTATTCCAAACTGAATTAACTATCTTGGTCTAATCTTTACCAATATTATTTTTTCTAAAGAGAGGTTTCCAAATAAATGTAGAAAAAACTATGTCGAATTCAATAAATGAATCGTTCATTTTCCCAAGTTTTCGGACAAAACTGTTTATTTCTGCCTACTCACATCCTAATTTCAAATTGATTTCGTTTTTTTTCTACTCAACCGTCATTTCCATTCAATTCAGATAATGAACAAACTTTCCAGTTCGAGAATTATCTACCATATCACAGGAAAACAGAATCGAATAAGAAAAAAATATTATAATGAGTTTCGGAATTCGTGACCTTCTTTCCGTACCTCAATTATTTATCTTACACAACCGGTCATGATTCACTACCTCTCCATACTCTTGGGTTCCATTTGCATAGGTGAGATTATGTGAAAACGATTAGAAAAATTGAATATTCAACGTTCTCTCTATAGACGGAGAGCTGTCAACAAAGATAAAAAATTATACTAAAGGCAGACGCATTATAAGAATTTTCATTAGAATAGTAACTTGAAAACTATTTAACTTTCGAACTTGACTTTTCGGAAAGTGATAGATACCAATAAGTGGCGGATCCAGAAAATCATTTTGGATGTAATATAATATAACATAATTTGTCAATAGGATACAAGATTGAACAGAGTTTATTCTTTCTCTTGCACCTTACAAAATTTAAAAAAAGATTTAAAAGATGAAAAACGAAAAAAGCAAATGGCTCAAAATGTAATTCTGATAGTAGGTACAACATTTTATTCAAATAAAGAGGTGAGATGAGGCTTATATCGGTATAAACATCCTTCGTGATTTGAATCCACCACGGCTGTGC